CAGCATCAATGGACTCAAGCATGGCAACAGTAGTGAGGTTGGCCCAGGATCGGGCAGTGTTTCATTCTGCTGTGCATAAGGTCGCTATGGGTCAGTACCGACTCGATGGCACCTAACAACAACAACATCAACAACATGAGTCAGAACTGACTCAGTAACACTTAACAACAACAACAACAAAGTTTACATTTTTAAATGCTTGATTTGTCTTTTCATTCATTTTAATAAACAGTATTTTAAATTATCCTTTCAAAACTAAATCTAAGCACACTCAGTTGAGAAAAAAGTTCACTAAGAGAAATATTTATTGGTTTTGCTTTGTTTTGACCTACTCAAGGCATCAACATTTGACTTGTAAATGCTTTGTATTCATAGTTAACAATACCTCAAGGGTTCAGTTAAAAACCATATAAAGAGGGCAAAGTGTTATTAAGACTGACAGAACCCATATTCTATAATGGTAACTGTAGTCAAGTTGGAACGGATAATTATATTAAGTAAATTATAAAACTATGTCTTAAAAATGTTTCTGTTAAACAACAATAAACAATCCTCTAGTATATTTATATTCCATGCAAGTAAATTTTTGCTGAAGATAATTCAAAAGCAGTTGCAGCAGTACAACAACAGAGAACTAGTCAGAAATTCATACAATTCAGAAGAGGACATGGGATGAGGGACATCATTGCTAACGTCAGATGGATCTTGGTTAAAAGTAGAAAATATCAGAAAGCTGTTCATTTGCGCTTTGTTGACTACATAAAAGGAATAGACTGTATGGATCATAACAGACTATGGATAACATTGTACAGAACATGTATTCCAGGAGAGTCCATTGTAGAGTTCATGAGAAACCTGTACAGAGACGAAGAGGCAATTGTTGGAACAGAACATGGGGATACTAAATAGTTTAAAATCAGGAAAGATGTGCATCAGGGTTGTGTCTTTTCATTATACTTATTCAATCTGAATGCTGAACAAATAATCCAAGAAGCTGGATTATATAAAGAAGAATGTGGCATCGAGATTGGAGGAAGACTCATTAACAACCTGTGATATACAGATGCCACAACTTTGCTTGCTGGAAGTGAAGAGGACTTAAAATGCTCACTGATGAATATCAAAGAATGTAGCCTTCAGTATAAATTACATGTCAATGTAAAGAAAACAAAAATCATCACAACTGGAGCAATAAATAGCATCATGATAAATGAAGAAAGTCAAAGACTTCCTTTTGTTTGGATCCACAATCAACACTATGGAAACAGCAAGCAAGAAATCAGACAACATATTTCATTAGGCAAATCTCTATGAGTTGGAACCCACTTGACAGCAATGAACAAAAACAACATGCTTCAAATGAACCTGACCTTCAAACACACTATGTCACCATGAGCAGGAAAAATCTGACTAGGATCAAGATCTCTGTATCTGGTACCCTTGTAGACTTTTACACTGAATTCTCACTGTCATCACTAGGCTTACGCATCTGGCTGGGGCCTTCCTGGGGTATAAACCTATCATTCAGTCTTCCCATTGTTGGGCCCGCCCACTGAACTTTTGACTTTGTGGCTCTCAGGCATAGCAGATGCTAGCCTCACATCTTCAGGTCAACGAGGGCCTTATGGCACCATGGTTATACTATGCTCTAGATCTGTCTACCCCTTCTAACATTCTGTTTCTGACAGTCAATAACTCTATGAAAGTAAGCTGTCCAGGCCTCAGTTTTCTATTTGTTGTTGTTATGAGCCATGGAGTCAGTTCCCACTCATAGCCACTTTATGCACAACAGAACGAAACACTGCCTAGTCCTGCACCTTCCTCACAATCATTGTTAAACTTGAGCCCATTGTGGCACCACTGTGCAATCCCTCTTGTTGAGAGTCTCTCTTTTTCTCTGACTAATATAAAAGATAAAATAATAGTGACTATCTGATAGATTCTTATGAGGCTTCAGTGATAATATGTACAAACTTCAAAGATTAATGCATGACATCAGAGGAATATCTAAGTTATGGCAGACATGACATGTGTCCTGGACCCCACTTATAGGGGGCTGTCAATAAGCAGTTGCTAAAACCACTGAAGTTTCCATTGCCAGCTGTGAGAGATCATTCAACAAGTTAAAACCAATTCTTTCATATTTGAGAGGTTCCATGGGTAGAAGCAGACTGTGTGATCTTGCTATGCTGAATGTAGAAAGAGAAAAAAAACAGGAAAAAAAAAAATGACTTTGAGCACATCATACCACAATTTTAATCAATGAAAGCAAGGTAGATGCAGTTATAACTCTCATGTAGTATTGTAATGTGTTAAGTAAAAGATAAAGGAGTTAGATTTGTATTTTTGAACTGAGTTTATGATAAAGTTATCTAAAATCTGAGTGTCAGATATTTGGGCAGAGGCACTATTTTCCATATGTACACCTCTGTGTGCCACGTACTATATTGTTGTTGTTGTGAAGTGCCATCGAGTTGGTTGAGACCCATAGCGATCCTGGATAGGGTTTCCAAGGAGCAGTTTATGAGCTTGAATCACTGATGATGCAGTTCAAAATGACTTTGCATAGTCCATAAATATTTTACACAAAATGGGGGACAAGATGGTTCTGGTCCATGAAACCTATATCTGCTTTCATTTACCATTGTCAGTCTTGCCATAGTCTGTCATTTGCTTTCCCTCAATTCACCCTCTGGAATTCCTTGACTCTCCTCTTTTTTGTTGCTGTGTGGTCTAATTCATTTCCCATTACACTTGCAACCTTTTCTCTAGCACACCTCCACACACACAGAAGTATATGAGCACACCAGACCTCTCTATGAGGCGTCCTGGGGTGGCTCTGTGGGTTAATGCTCTGGACTGCAAAGTCGATTTGAACTGCAAGGTCGGCAGTTCAAGTTCACCGGCCGCTCTTTGGAAACCCTATACAGGGTCGCTCTGGGTCGGAACCGACTCGACGGCACTATAGAACAACACAGACCTCTGTGAAGATTTAAGATAGCAGGCATAGATAGCTGGAACTAGAAAACAAAAATAACAAAACACCTTACGATACCAGAAAAGCCTTCAATTCTCGCAGCCATGTGGCAGGGATTCCTTAGCAGTCAGGATCTGAGAATATTTTATTGTTTAATTCCCTCTCTTTTCTCTTTCTTTCCTCTGCTACTCTCTTCTATTTGTTCATCTAAATTCGTGTTTATTTCTAATGTAGAGTGGCTTGTTGTTGTTGTCAGGTGCCATCGAGTTGGAACCGACTCATAGCGACCCCATGCACAGCAGAACGAAACAATGTCCGATCCTGGACCAACCTCACTACCGCTGCCACACTTGAGTCCATCAATGATGCCACCTGGCCAATCCATATCGTTGGGGTCTTCCTCTTTTT